ACTGTTCCTCCACACTAGAGGAACTGGCAAAAGATTTCTCTCTGCACAAGCTAACCAGCTTTAGGGTGATGTGTTGATTCTCCAAGGTCATGGGATAAGTTGGTTTACTTTTGACTATGGCTCTGGTAAGAACATAGAGCAATTTTCTTTCAGCTTTTTTTTGTCCATCAGGCACGATCAAGCAGAATACAGGAGTGCTTGCTGCTGTTTAGGGATTGCAGGAGGCTTCAAGTTTAATGGAATGAAAGCTAAACAATAAAGGGAAAAAAAACATCCTTTGAACTGAGAAGGGTAGACTTGGCCTTGATAGACTTGGCAAGACGAGGAAGTGTAAAAATGTGTTTTAAACGTGTTTGAGCCCTACCTTCATTGGAGTTTTTTTCCTAAATCTTTCCTGGTGGATGCTTGTTCTCATATGCAGTCTTTCCCTGTTCTTTGTTGTCCTTGGTTAAACCTTACAACTAATCGATCTCAAACTTCATTGCCAAATTCAAATCCTTTCTCCTTTCTAAGTGGACATAAAACCAGACTAATTTCACAAAGATCTTCTGGATATCTAAAACATGTTGTTGTGTCTTCTGCTATTTTCTGTGTTGCTGTTAGATGAAAAAAAATATATTTTTCAGACAGTCTCCCTTTCTAGATGATGGTTTTATGAACCTGTGAATATATCTTTTACTCTGTTTTGGACTTTCTTTGATCTCTGATCCAGTGTTAAAAACTGGACACTGTTTTCTAGTTCAAGTCTTACTGAGCATGAAGGGGAAGGCACTTCCCCTAAGATCGGGCACCATTTTATCCCGTGTCTGTATTTGCTATTCCCGTTTTGCTAAAGCTGGTACTAAAGTCAACCAAGCCAAAGCTGGCCAAGAAGTCGTACAAAATAAATAATGAAGTGGAGAAATCTTTGAAATGTCTTTACATTTTCTGCTAGGTTCATGAGGGAAACGGTTGTCAGATTTTACTGAAATCCATTTCTTAGCTTTAAGCAAATAATGTAGACTACTGTTTAAACACACCTCTTCATAACTGCTTGGAATTTTTAGCTGGGTATCTGAGCCTTAAAATTTTACGAAGCTTGAACTAAAATTATATGCAGTTATTGGCATTAATGCAGAAGTCAGCAATTTTTAATAAATAGTATTTGTTACAAAAGCTGAGACCTCCTTTTGACCTTTTTGTAGTAGGTCCTAAAATCTTGTAGTTGGGAGAGAGGAGGAAAGGTGGTGAGTGTTCACATTTCTCTGTAAGTAGGGGAGGAAGAAAGGGCTGTTATTTCTGGTTTTCAAAACTTGAGAGATTTTTTTTTTTTTTAACACAGCAGTGAGGCCCATGGCCTGTGATAATCCAAGATAGACAAGGAATTGACCAGAAAAACAAGGGCTGAATAGCAGTGTACAACCTAAGGAGCTGTAGTAGCTAAAAGCAAGAATGTGTATCCAGAAAAAACTTGGAAATATTACATCCAACTCCCAGTGTCTGAAAACTTCAGAATCCTTAAATCATCAGGGTGTGATATTTTAACAAGCATTTGATTTGATCTGGTTTTTGTTTTTCTTGGAGAAAGAATGCTTTATCATAACTCGTTGATTAAAGCAGTAGGCATTTAGGGTGGGATTGATCTACCTGGCCTTGGGTATTTGTGTTGGGGCAGGCAGCCCGTGCTCTTCTCCTAGTCAGCAGAGAGGAGTAAGGACTGTGGTGGCATCACTTCAGTCCTCTTCTGAGGCTGTGGATCAGGGGAGCCGTGCCCTAGAGCTGCCAGTTTCTCTCCTGAATATGGTAGGAGCTTGGGTGCCGTGCTGAGATAGGGATATCCAAATCCAGGCAAGGTGAGTCCCAGCTGAAGTGTGTAAAAGTGTGAGACCAACCCAGTACTGCCACTGCTGGTGAAAATTGCAGATAAGTTACAGCTTCTGAGCTCGGTGCCCTGCTCTAATCTCTTTTGTGTACAATGGAGATATTGCTTATAACAGTATTTCATGTCCTCAGGTCCTCAGTGCTTAACATTGGGTTAGAAAATTGGGTTGTCGAGAGATCTTCGTTTAGGAAGGCAGGGGAGCTTTTCTAAATGGTTGTTTTTTAACCTATTCTAGGATGACGACGTTCTGATTGAAGTTCTATTTCACACCAAGAGTACTCTATCATCTCTAACACTGAAACAATGTGGGGCAATCTGGGTTACATTATATCTCTGTTATAAACAAAGTTCTCTTTGCCTGTGCATCCGTCTCTTCCACCATCTCTAAATACTAAGAATTCTCAGCACGCGTTTTTCATCGAGGAGCAGTAATTGGAAAGCAGTTCATTTGCCGCCCAGCTGTATTTGTTGTTGCAGTAATGGCATATTATTTACCAGCGAAGACATTTAAAGCTTTCATACTTTTCCATCGGAGAGTATCCTCACAAATCCCTAATCTATTTATTTAATTTTCTCTAGATTTGTATAAATATTGAAAAAGAGGCGCCTTTCTGTATGCTTAAAGCACCTTGGGCATACTGAAAGACTACATTGCAAACAAAATCTGAAAAGTGTAGCAGTCTGCATCTGTCTCCCCAGGAGCAAACTAGGCAGCCTAGAAAGTCAAAATTCTCTTTCACTCCCCCATTAACAGTTTTCTCCCTTTACCATTCACTTTGTTTATCACTGCACCACGTACTAAACCTGCTTTCAACGAGTGAATAAATTGCTAAGGAGCGAAGCATTTTAAAGAAAGGTGAAGCTGCGTAATAAAGCATACTTCAGTAGCATCAGACAGTTCAAGACACAGTCCTGGACAGATTATAAAGTAGTTTTTCCACAAAGAATTTAGTTTTGTAGGTAAAAAGATGATATGCTGGGTAACGCATCGTGTGTGGGGTTCAAAGCAGAGAAAAACTTCTACTTTCTCATTGATCAATGGTAATCCTTTTGATATCTAAAGGAAATGAGGCAAGGATAGTTACTTTAGCCACTGTGTTTCTGAGGTAGACTTGTGTTCTAACAGTTGAGAAAGTGAAGCATTTTTCTTCATCTCCTATGCTAGTATACTTGTTACTATGGCAAAAATCAAAATGTGAGAAGCCCAAAATCCTCTTGTTGAGTTTGGAATCTTTTTTTTCTGAAAAGTGTGAGCTCTTTTTATGCTTTTAATATTTTTAAGAAGGTAGCGTAAAAGAACGACCAGGAGCCCTTATGTCCCTGTGCAGAGATGTGAAATGCTGCACCTCCCCCCCAGCTTTGCGGAGGTATATTCTGTGTATTAAGAGTTAAGGATCTCTTCGGTGCTGTCTATCAGGCTTCAGAACTGCCCATAGCTTTTTCTTTGCCTGCCCGTTCAACCTTGCCTAACTGAATACAAGTATAAAAATATGCAAAGGGCTCCGGTGCCTTTTCTATTTTTAAATGTTGAATGAAACACTTATAACGTGTTAACGTGATCACACTGGCTTATTTGCATTGTATCCCAGGTGGCAGAATTTTATAATTTATATCACTTGTCGGTTTCAAATCCCAACTCTGGATTACGGCTTTAGAGGACTGACGTGGAGTCCTTTGGGAAAACTATGGGGAAATCAAGACTTTGAAATCCAGGATGCACCAGGCAGCACTTACCAGAATGATACAGGAAGGAGAGTTTCACTTCTAACATGCCACTTGCTTTGTGGTTTTGATACCACATTTTAATCTCATCACTTCACATCTGTTGTGTATGGTATTGGCTTGTAAATTGTGGGGTTTTGCTTCTGGCTTTTGCCACTGACCTTAGGCAGCTGATTCATTGTGCTATCTCAGTGCTCGTCTGCTCGCTAAAGATAATCTTACCTTCTTGCTCTGAGATTCTTAAGGGAAAAGCCCTGTGAAAAAGCAGTGTTACTTGAGAGGCCACCGAGGAGTTACCGGGTTTTCAGTATGTCGTAGGAGGGAATAAGGTTGCAGCATTACGGTTCTGCAGTAAATCTGAATGGGAGATCTCGTAGATAGGTGAGGTGACTTTATTTTAAGCCCAAACCAATTCACTTCTTTGCAGTCTCATACTCACACAGTCCCAAACACAAAACAAAAGATGTGTACTGGAGTCATCAGTCCAGCATTCAGCTACCCAGACATCTGAATGCCAGCAGTCTTCTTTCCTGGAATGCCTTATGATGCTATCAGGAGTGAAGGGTCACTAGCTATTGACTTCTAATCATGTCAGTGGGTTTTTTGGGGGGTTGCTGAGGTGTTTTTTCATTAGTGTTGATTTTTTTTTTTATATTATGCCTTTCGTACCTTTAGAAGCCAACAGTGGTTGGCATCTCCATCCTATCCCACCTCTGCAAATCATCAGGATTTACTCTTAGTCCTTTGTCTCCTGATCTGGCTGTCCTAAGAAAGCACATGCAGATAGGTGGTAGAATTTAGTTGCTGTTCTGATGGTTCTTCCGTGGTTCCTTCTGGTGCCTCTGTGCCCTGACATGGCCATTCGTTCATCAGCAAGACCAGTGTGAACATTTCCATTGTGGTTTTCTACAACAAAAATATGGATCCAGAGCTGCATTCAGGCTCCTGATTGCCTCTTTTTCTCTGCAAAATATGATTTAGATTAATCCTGTTGGGGTAGAAGGACTGAAAGACGTCTGGTTTTGCAGATAAAGAATATAATTTAAAAAGAACACACTCTTCATTTAGTTTGCCTTTACTAAAGCACAGATCTCCTGTGTGACTGGGAGGTGGCTTACCAAGCTGTTGTGTGTCTTGGCTGCCTACTGTAACAATTCCTGTCTCTAAAACTGTACTCATACAGTGTAATCACCCTCTGTTATGGTTAGTGGGCTTCATCTTCAATTAGCTACATGCATTGTACAGGTTTTAATCCATAAATCTCTTCTAAGTTGTTGTAAAACGCGCAGTGTATGATCTGTTAACAGAAATCAAAGAACTCCAACTCAATACAGTGTTCTGCAGATTTTTACTACCTCTGTTTTTTTAACTTTTGGATTCTGGATAATTAAAACAATTCCTGGTTTCGTTCTGACAGATAAACAGAGGTCATATGACAACTGAAGCAAAGAGGGCTGCCAAGATGGAAAAGAAGCTGAAGATTTTGCTTGGTGGTTATCAGTCTCGAGCAATGGGCCTCATCAAACAGTTGAATGATTTGTGGGACCAAATTGAACAGGCTCATCTGGAGCTACGTACTTTTGAGGAGCTGAAGAAACATGAAGATGCTGCTATCCCAAGGAGACTGGAGGTGAGATTGCATAAATGTGATACCTTAGATCAAATGCAGACATTGTGGAAAAGATGTTTTTTACAATGCACAGACTCTGAAGTTAACAGCCTGAGTGTACCAAGTTTTTACTGGTAGTCTTAAATTATACTTGTAACCAAAAAAAAAACTCTGCTGTTCACTTCAATATCAAAGATTCTGTGACATGTTACAAGCTGGGACTAATCTACTAGTGTGTACTTTCATTTTCTTTTTATTTTATTTCTAATGTGGTATATTTTATTAATCTTCTGCAATATGTATTAGCAGAGGTTCCATGTCTATCTTAATTCGGCTTGTTTTGGTTTTAATTACTGTCAGAACTCAGGGTAGATTGGAAAGCTGTGCACAGCCTCCCATTACCTTCAAAATCAGCTGACCAAATGCTAGTTCAGAGTACTGGAGAATTTCCTTTCTTTTCACATGTTGATTGTGTTCCTCCCTTAACTGTGTTGTTGTTACCAGACTTGCAGATAGCTGAACTGTTATAAATTGGGAAGAACCCCATTTTGGAACTGGCTTTCGACATCACAGCTCTCAGTTTCAGAAGCTGAGCAGCCATAGTGTAATTTTAGTTCTGAGCCATCCTCGGAGCTCAGGCTCTTTGCCGCGAGTCCTGCCACTAGCTCTGCATTTGGTGATCTGGACCAATGCTGCTGAGTAACAGCAGCCTGCCCTACTGGCTCTAGCTGGTCAGTATGGTTTTGAGAAGGAAGGAGCAGCCTCAAAGAGTGAAGGGATATCCCATGAACTAGCAGCTGGCAGTTTCAGAACGAGCAGTAGTTCTCATTCACACGCTGCATCATTAGTGGAACAAGGCCTTGTTGCAGGATGCTGTGTTAATGAGGAAGGTTACCTAAAAAAAGGTTCAGGACAAACTCAGGAAAGAGAGGAATCAATAGATAACTTTTAAATACAGGGCACTGCTTGCGGCTGGTTTCTAATTTGAAATCTCCCCTTTTGAAGCATTTTGTATTAGCTGCGGTCAAAAACAGGATGCTGAAGTAAGATGGCCATGATTCTTGATACTTCATATTAACTGTTCTAGTTTTTAAAGTAATTTTAGCATTCTTCTACCTCAGCTTCCTGTGAAGGAACTAAAATGCAACCTTTGCTAATGATCTTCAGGCATGTGACTGGTTGTTTGTTTTCCTTTCAGTGTCTAAAGGAAGATGTGCAGCGGCAGCAGGAGAGAGAAAAGGAGCTCCAGCAGAGATTTGCTGATTTCATGTTGGATAAAGAGACTTTTCAAGCAAAGTATTAAAGCACAAAATTCCTTTTGTCGCTGATGTAACATTTTTAAAGTGTACAGATACTTCTCCAGCAGCTTTTGCCGTCAGTCACAGAAATCAAGTGTAGTCTGCTGTTTGTCAACTTTTGTTCCTTTGATGGACTATTTCAAATGCTCTCGATATGAATGGCCTTGTCCAGGATGAAAAAACATTGGATCAAAATGTCCAAAGTTTTATTAAAAGAAGTCACTCTGATATGATTTTAGCCATGTCTTCATTTGCTGGGACTGTCACATTATTCCTAGTGTTTTATCAGTCTTAAGACCTATGAGATAACATGCCTGAGAGTAATGTCTCTTGAATAAACCTGGAATGTTAAAAATAATTATGAAATAAAATGCTTGTCTTAACTGAAACAGAGTCCTCCCCCAGCCCCGGTCTCTTTCATGTTTCTGATAATTTATTGTTCTTCCACAGTTGTGCTCCATCCCCCATTCCTCCTTCCTTCCTCTGAATTGTCATTTGTAACAGGTAGGACCTGTGGAGAGTAATTTTGGTCCATGTAAAAGTGCTCGTAGTTCTGTGCCTGCAACAAAACTTTAGTTTTTATATCAGGATATTCACATGCTCATAATGGACAGTAAGTGTAACTGCACTGTGCTTTGGCTTGCCACTGTGGTAGTAATCAGTTCCTTGTTCTGTACATTTCTTAAAATTGTCCTTTGCTCCTTGCTGGCTGTGATCATCCAGCATCTTCAAGCATCTGTCGGACATGGTTTGTGAATTAGGGTGGGCCAGGGACAGACATTAATAAGCAGGAGCTGTGTGACCAGCCCTGGTAGCCTGATGGCCTGGATCTGTCCGTGCTGTGCTGGTTGACCTGAGTTCTAGGGCTGAATATTGTTCAATTTACTACTGCAGCCACAGCCATACTGCCTCTCAAGACCTTGCGCACCATCGTGTAGGGGTTTATGGAGTGCATCCTGATCCCATAGGTAGCACTCTTGAGGTCCTTGGCACTATTTCTTGTTGCTCCTTGAGAGTGGACTCGGCAGCGTGCTTTGCTTCCCAGAGCAGCCCAGGAGTGGGATGGGCAAAAGTTCCCTATTTACTCCTCCTCTACTCTGTGACAACATCTCAACAGAATTTAATTTTCTGGCTACTTTGACTTTATCCTGAATATTAAGGATGGCTTTACTGAAGGGGGTGGATGAATCTTTTTCTGTTCACACACAGTTTTCTAAACCTTACCCAAATTTTTCTCAGTACTGCTTGTCCAGAACACACTGAAGTTAGATATTTGGTTTTTCAGAATGTTACCAATTGTTCCTAATGCTTTTAATATTAGAATTTGCCAGTCAAGCATCTAATTTAGAAGATTGCTTTCAGGTTTTATTTTTGTGGAGGTGTTCATCCCTCTTTAAGGATTGGTTTTACTTTCAACTCTTGTACTTCTGGTGTTTTGAGCAATTGTTTGAGGAAATGCATAGGGAAAAAGGCAACATTGTATACTAACAGCACAGAATTCAGCAATTTAATACATCAAGTTGCACACATGAGCAGTCAGAGTTGTGGATGTGTAGCTGCTTAAATGCCATCCAGAATGGTCCAGTGATCAAAGACAATCTTGGAGTGTTTTTTTTTTTTTTTTTTTTAATTATTATTTTTTTAAGTGCAACCTGTCTCATTTCTACTGATCACTGACAGGAGCAGGTCATACAGCCAGCCTTTCCCTTTACTCACCAGGACATCGTTCTTGTGAAGTATTAATGCAATTACAGACTGCATACTTCTAAAAACGTGTTAAATATTTAACTAAACCAGAGCACATCTGGAAAAAAGTATTAGGCATCAATCTTCTAGCATATGGGGTATTTTAGCTTGGATGGGTTATACCAAAAAGGAAAAATTACATAAATGCATATCATGACAGTTCTTGTGGTTGTGTGGTAGCTAGAAATATTAAGGAAAAAACCCTTGTAGGTTTACCAATACCACAACTGCAATTATTTCTTTCTTTTTAAGGCTGCAGCTGAGCATCTTTGATGTCTCTTGTACTTTTGACAGCTTCAGAGCTGGACAGGTATTCAAACGTTCTGCCCTAGCAAATATTCAGAAGCAAATTCAGAAGGACTGATAAGTCACAGAAGACTTTTCCTTCCTGAAATGCATACCTGCTGCAATCAAGGATCTCTGATGTTGCTGTATTTGAAAGGCACCTGCAGGAGTTTTCTCCAGTAGGTTATACTTAAGCAAGTTTGTGGTTTTCCTTGTCTGTAGTCAGAGGTTTTGTCCTGAAATTGAATGAGGTCTCTTGCCTCAAAGTTTTATTGTACCTTGCTTTGGCTTTTTCACCTGCCATGAAGGTGGCAGCAAGGAGGCTGAAATAGCCCCCAAAACATCACAGGGGTGCTGTAGAGATGGGAGTACAGCAGGGCCTGGCCAGGACACCCTTAGATCAAGGAATTCTGGCGTGGTAACCCAAATTGGAGCACTTGGGAAATTTGTCTGACCAAAGCTGGGTGCTAACAGCTACCGGTGCTTCCAACAGCAGGCAGGGATGGAGCTCAGGCTTTCTAGATCCCCTTCTTGGACTTAGCCCCAGTTTATATCCCAAACAATGCTCCCTGAATCTCTTTCTAAAACGCCTGGTTATTGGATACAGATGTTCGGTGGACAGCAGAGTAACCAGCACACCTCAGAAACAATTTTTTATTTCAACCTTATGAGTTTAGCTACTAATTTGGTCTTTGTTTCCAAGAACAATAGTAAGTTTAACCATGAACAGCGCGAGCTAGTTAATGGTTTACTGCAGTGGGGAAAGCATAACCCGATGGAGTGACAGAGGTGGGATGGGGGTTGTGTTGTGTGTGTGTTAACAATTTTGCGAATTATTTAACATTCTCCCCGAGAAATTCCTTCGTTGCCTTTCAGCATGCCAAGATCTATCTGCAAGTCTTTAAAGAATTTCGAGCCGATGATTTTCTTCCCTTCCTGGAATCAGACTTGGCGTTTACATGTTGGATCAATCCCGCAGCTGGAGCCTGTTTCAAAGCCGGGGGAGTTGATAAGACCGCCGCTCACTTCAGTGCAGTTGGAAGCAGGTACCTGGCAGAGTTAATGGGGCAGCGTAAATTGTAACAGCTGAGTGTCTCCTCCATACCCTGCAGATAGCAACTAGAAAAAAAAAAAGAAAAAAAAAAAAAAGGAAAAAGAAAGAAAAAAAAAAGAAAAGAGAGACTGAAGTAGAGGGGGAGACTTTTCTAAGTTCCCTGTGAGACATCTTACAGAGCTGGAGGCAGCCCTCCAAAACATGGCAGATTTCCAGGGAAATGAGCCCTGTTTTGACATTGTAATTAGTCACTCCAGCCAGCAATGGCCAAGACTCGCTGTAGTTCCCTGGCTATCTTCAGCAGGGTCTTTAGGGTGCCAACAGACCGAACATCTTGTATTTGCCCTCTCTGCTTGTGCACTCTCCTTTGCTTGAGACAAGCATTGGAGCATGTTTGGCTTAAAACGTGTTAATCCAGCTCACTTGTCCAATCCACTGCACGGACACCAGCTGGGCCAGCTTTCAAGGTTGAGAGTGCAAACAAACGTGGAAGTGGGGCAGAATTGCCTCTTTCAGAGGCTGTGCCACGTCTTTGTCTGATTCAAGTGCCTGAAACAGGGACTGCAGTGCTCCAAGTAGCTAATGTGAGGCAACTGCCCACAATCAGGCACTTTAAGTGATTTACTGTATCTGAGCCCCTGATGGTAAATGCTGGAGACTTAATGCATTTTGCAAGCACAGCCCGACCATAGATTTCTAAATAAAAGGCATCAAAACCCATGATTGAACTTTTTGTTTTGGCTGCAAACTAGATAGCAGCGTCTTAAACTAGTGTGCGAACTTTGGCTTGCCCTCAATCTCCCAGGACAGTGATGCTGCTGGAGAAGATGACATTATTGTGGTCTGGACTTAATCTGCCTCACATTCATCTCAGGAATCCAGCTTGCAGTTATCTTCCATGCTGCGGGTTCAAAGCAACACCTGTCTTCCAAGCAGGGTTTTAAAGTGAAGTATCAAATAGCATTTCCCCCATTTTCTTCGTTTAGTGAAATGCGTGTTGAAAAATAGCCAGATACTCATCTAAAAGCAAAGTGTCCTTATAACTGATTCCAGACTTGTATTTTCTGCCTGTCCAGGACTGCAGCTTGGATCTTTGCTTACTAACAACAGAAGATGTGGTTCTGCTTGTCTCGAAGACTTGTGCTTTCATTAGCTCCCATGGGAGCAAGATCAGACCCTGACTCAGGAAAGGACATAAAGCACATGCTTAAAGTATATGTAAGCCAATCCATCCCTATAGCTCCACTGAAGTACATGCAGTCGTCCCATCACTTAAAAAATTTAATACGGTCAATGTTGAACCAGGTCCTTAATGACTTTGAAGTGAAAAGGAGTAGAAGGGGTTAAAAAGAGGAACCTCAATATTGGTTGCAGGCAAGCACTGCTGTTAGGTTTCCTCTCCTCTCCCTTCCAGTTAGCTTGTTATTTTCTTGGCAATTAAAAGAAAATGGCTCTAACCAGTTCCTACTACCTTGCTTGCAACTGTGAGTGCTACGATAGGTGAATAGATACAGGAACGGGCACTTCACAGCCTCGCTTCTGCAGCTCCTGGGATTCCTCTTAGAGGGTTTATTTGCCTGTTGTTGGAAATGTTTTGTCAATTTTCTTATACTTCATTAAGAGATGCCTTAGTGTCAGGGTTAGAAAGATCTTGCTTTCAAGTCAGTCAAAAGTTTTTCACGTATCAGCTCAGACAGGGTCTGCCTCATTAGATCACTTTCAGGTTTCCACGTTACAACTGTGGTTCTGATGGATTCAGATTCCTTAAAGATTCCTCAAAGGAAATGCAAGTTCCTCTTTTCAGATCATTTATGCACATTGAAGGCATTTATGACATGTGACGCGAGGAAACACAGACTGTTTTCTTATTTATCCAGTTCATATATCAGATCTTTTGCCAAGTATGTGCTACAGGTAAATGCCTCATAGGATCAGACAGAAGAGTGTGTTAGATTCCCCTCTTCTTCTCCTCCCATTTCTCCCACTCCCTTCCCTCCTCCTTAAAAGAAACGTGGGGTTTATTTTGTATAATTATCACACCAGTAACTTTTTAAAGCATGTTGTGCACCTTAGGTGAGATCCTGACCCCAGTGAAGTCAATGGGAGATTTGGCTTCAACTTCAATGAAGCTGAGATTTCCTCTCCTCTCCTGTCTGTATTTGATAAGCCTTTTTGTCAGGAGAAGAAAAAGATCCTCTTTTGAAAAATGGTCATAGATGCTTAATAAAGCTGAACAAGCCAGCCAGGATTACATTTTTAGCTCAATGGCCAGCAAAATCTATTCCAGAACTAATTCTGATTAAAGGGA